AGAGACGAATTCAAGTTTCCAAATGCCAACCACCTTTTTACCTTTCAAATTAAGGGCAATTAGAACTCGGCAGGAGCAGGAGCAGGAGGTTCTCCGGTAGGAATGCAGCTTCTGCTTCTGCTTCTTCTCATCCTCCTGAAATTATCATCCGAGCAATCAAAGCTTGGGACGACGATTAAGGATTAAGGATGAAATGAAGGAATTAATGAAATTGGATTTAAATAAATACAATACCATTGTAAATAATTTCAGATTTTTTTTTTCTTTTTGATAACAGAACAGATGAGACGATCTCCCAAACCAAAACCCTCCCTTCTCTTCGGTTCTGTTTGCCTGATATCCCTATCCTTTTCATTAAATATAGATGAATAATTTAAAAAACTATTTTAGAATTCAAATTATTTTATATTATAAAATATTAATTCTTTAATAAGAGATAGTCTCTTGTATTAAACTACTCTTTTATTTAAAAATTTTCATTTTATAATTTAAACAATAAAATGACAAACTCTTAACAATTTATAAAAAACTTATTATTTTTTTACTTGTATTATTGTCCTTAATAAATGTAATAATAAGATAAATAATTAAAGTTAAAATAAGAGAAACTTTTATCTATTTTACAATAATATAATTAATTAGATTAAATTTTGAGTTAAAAAAAAAAGAAGAATTATTTTATAATAAAAGAAATAGTTCTTTGTTGATATGGTTATGACAATCTAATAATACTTAAACACCAAAAATAAAATTAGGAGACATAAAGCTCCAAAAGCATTGTACCTGTTTCTACACAATGACAATAATTTTCAATCTTCTATCAAGAGCAAATGAAAGAAAACCAATACAAAACACATATCTATATATACATATATATGTCCTCGTGTCAAATTGAATGCTAGACACAGAAGTTGTTCAATTCTCCAAAAACTAAACTAAAACCAAACTCAGCATATGTTCAAACTTTTGAAACTAGAAATGTACCACTAGAAGCAAAGGACTCATCGCTGTATGGATGGAGGGTACTTCCCTTGGATGCCACCTCATAACTTGACGAACTTGTAGCTGAGTCAACATTGGGATTTATCCCGGCAACCTGCATGATGTTTTCAATCTCTTTTACCACATCACCCATTGGAGGCCTGTCAACTCCTGAATCTTCCACACAGTTCATTGCTAGGTCCACAAACTTTTCTAATCCTTTTAGGCTTGCATCCGCAATGGCTGGCTCAAGAATCTGACGAAGACTATATAAGTCTTTTGTCTTATCCATTGCCATTCTCACCTCTTTTACAATATACTTCCCTCGCTCTATTGGTCTTCTTCCAGTTATCATCTCCAACAAAAGCACCCCAAAACTATAAACATCACTCTTCTCAGTTAGCTGCTGGGTCATATAATATTCAGGATCCAAGTAACCCTGCACCAATAACAAAAACCACAAGCATGATCAAATTCTCCTAGCATAGTAAAGAATAGTGTCACTAAACTAATTAAACCTTACTATCCAACTGAAGTGGGTGTATAAAAGCAGTCACCATTGTCCCTTTGACTTGAGTGGTAACATGACCTTTTTCACTATCACTTATAAGTTTGCAAAGACCAAAATCAGCAACTTTAGCAGTGAGGCGCTGATCCAATAATATGTTAGTCGATTTAATGTCCCTATGTATGATGGGAGGATTGGCAAGTTCATGCAGATATGCCAGGCCTTTAGCTGCACCAAGGGCTATTTTGAGTCGCCTGGTCCAATCCAGTCTGATTCCTGACTTTCCTGCACATGGTATGAAACTTTCCAATGAAGCAAATTAAATGGAGGTTTTGCTAAATGTAAGGCTAGCTTGTTATGAAAGAAATGTGAAGGGTGTAACTTAAATTCATTTGTCATGGATAAAATGATTGGTACATGGTTATTATAGATATTGCAACGAGACTGTAGTTAATAGATGGAAAAAAATACCAAGGGTAAAATAACTAGTAGAATCATTGGACAGTTGCAAAGAAAGAAGCAAAAACTATGTTATATTTACAAAACCTTTTGAGTTGTTTTTTGCTCTTTCAACAATAGTATATATAAATCATAAAAATACTATCTAGCTACATAACTCGTTAAGTAATTTATGTTGGGTAAAAAATAGAATAAATGGAGGAACATACCTGATAGAGTTTCATACAAAGAGCCGTTTGGAATATATTCATATATTAGCATTTGTTCACCTCGCTCAAAACAAAATCCTAATAGACCGACAACATTCTTATGATGGGCTCTAGATAGAAGTTCAATCTCTGTTTTGAATTCCTGCCCACCCTGCATTGATCCTTGCTGGGCTAGTTTGATCGCAACCAGCTCTCCATTGGGAAGAGTTCCCCTATAAGCCTATAATTGATTGAAGATTGGAACTTTAATAATCATGTAATGTAATGTAACGTAACACAGATAATAATTGAAGACAAAAAAAATATAAATTTGAGAAAAGGAACAGTAGTGTTGGAAAATTGACAAATTTGTAATTTGTTTCAATGATAACCTGCTAGATTCACAAAAGTTTAAAGCTAAATTGATTATGTTAAACATGTCATGTTTATGATTTACTTAGTAATATAGCATTGATCATACTGCATAGTTGCCAAAAATCCGCATGAAACTTTTCTAATATAAAAGAGAGGCCTTGAGGATACATTGATTATTTTCTAATACAAAAGTTCCAACTAAAACTGCTAATTTCTATTGGAGTAATAGGTCAATAAGCCCCTTGAAATAATTTTTACTAGCAAGTAAGTCCCCAATGAAAGTTTGGTGGCAAATCCACCTAACAATTTACAAACAACAGCAAATCTCCCCAAAGTTGATGGAAATCGTTGACTGACCTTAGTTAGCCTATCATACCACATCAGATAAATTATACATTGACGAATATAAACTAATAATTTCTATCACTTTGGGGAGATTTGCTGCTATTTATTAGTTTTGGGATGGATATGCCACCAAAGTTTCATCAAGGACTTATTTGCTCCATATATATGTATATAAAAGTGTTATGTGTGTGCATGCCTATAGTAACTACGACCAATACATGTGAGTTGTAAAATTATCAGTTCAAATGAAAAGGAATCAGTAACACAATTTCATTTAAGAAAGAATAATCATTTTACATTTAGGCAAAGAGAGGAAAAGGCACCTTTCCATAACCCCTAGATCCAATATCATTGGCCTCTGA